ACAGAACCTGAATCCCTGTCACAGCTCCCTATGCCCTTAGACAGAGCCTGAATTCCTATCACAGCTCCCTATGCCCTCAGACAAAGCCCAATCCCAGCCACAGCTCCCTCCACCCCCAAACGGAGCTAGAATTCCTGTTGCAGCTCCCTAGGCCCTCAGAGAGAGCCCAATTCCAGCCATGGCTCTCTCCACCCCAGACAGAGCCAGAATCCCTGTCACAGCTCCCTATGCCCTTAAACAGAACCTAAATCCCTGTCACAGCTCCCTATGTCCTCAGACAGAGCCTGAATCTGTCACAGCTACCTATGTCTTCAGAGCCTGAATCCCTGTCACAGCTCCCTATGCCCTCAGACAGAGCCCAATTCCAGCCATGGCTCCCCCTGCCCTCAGTCAGAGCCCAATCCCGGCCATGGCTCCTTCCACCCTAGACAGAGCCAGAATCCCTGTCACAGCTCCCTCCACCCCCAGCTAGAACCTGAATCCCTGTCGTGGCTCCCTCTGCCCTCAGAGCCCAGTCCCAGCCATGGCTCCTGAGGCCCACCTAGTCGGAACCTGCCAACCAGCCCCGTTCTGTCACTATTGTCCCCCGCCGGCCTGTTCAGTGCTCCCTAGAACCCCTGGAGCGTGACACAGGCGTAATACGTGCCGCCAGCATGGGCCCATTCCATGGCCTCCCAGCAGGGAACCAGAGCCCTCAGGAAGGATTCTGCAAAGCCCTGCTCATGGGGATGGAGGTGGTCTGCAGAGAACCCAGGGTGGCCCTCTGTTCACCTGGCTCCCTGCCCCTCCTCTTTCCCGTGGATCCTGTGGGAAGCGTGACCACCTGCCACAGAACATTCTCTTTGAACTCCGACTCAGGCGGGCGGAACCTAGCCCAACTGCCCCCGCCATCGGTCTTGGCAGCCCAGTGAGAGCTGAGGACCCAGCCGGCATTCCCCGGGGCGCTGACGGTCCCCCACTCACCAGCTTGGGGTTGACCTCGGTGGCGATGAGCTTCAGGAGGCAGCCGAGGAGGCGCTGCTTGTGCAGGGCGGCAGGCGCAGCGGCACAGGCGCCGGGGCCCTGCACGGCTAGCCAGTCGTACTCCAGCTGCAGCTTGTTGGGCTTGCCCAGCATGAGGTAGACTTCAGCCAGCGTGAGGCTCTCGGACGTCTGCAGGTTCCAGCCCTCCTCGCGCACCTGCTGGGCCAGCCGGCTGGCGGGCTGTCCCTGAGGTGGTGGCACGGTGTCTGAGGCACTCCCCTTCTCCAGCAGCTCCTCTGCAGGCGACTCAGCCGGGTCTCTCGTGCTGCCGTCAGCCTGCAGCCCAGGGCCCTGACTGGGCTGAGGTTCCGGCTGGGGTGGGGCGCGGACCGGGGATGGGCCCCGAGCCACATCAGCAGCCTCTGCGGCACTGGGGGCGGGGGCCTCGGGTGAAGTGCAGCCCCCAGGGGAGGGGCGCTCGCCCCCAGCCCGCGAGGACGCGCAGCGGCACCTGTCAGGGATGATGAGGTCCTGGCAGGACTTCATGTAGCGGGGGAAGGGGTCCAGCAGGGACAGCTCCTCGTCCAGGTCTGGGAGCTGGCCGCAGGCACATGGCTCAGGGGGCAGAGGGCCCTGGGCACGAGTGAGACCGTCCATGGGGCCTCCTGTGGCATCCGACGGCCCAGTGGGGAGCCTGTCGGGGGCATCGGGGCTGCTCAGGCTCAGGGTCCCCCCACCAGGGCCGCCCTCGGGGGAGCTCTCCCCAGAGCTCTGTGAGGCGTCGGTGGGCATGGGGGGCCGCCCGCCAGCTTTGCCCTCAGCCGCACCCCGGGGGCACTTGACCTGGCCCCTGGCTGTGCCCTGGCCGCTTTGGATACCCAGGATCTGGGCAGGCGGCAGTGTGTGGGTGTCCCGGGCGCCCTGCTTGCACCGGCCGCTCTCCTGCCAGTGCACTGTGCAGAAGGCCCTGGAGTGCACCACCCGCGCCACGCCCGGCAGTGGCGTCACCGTGCAGTTCTCGCCCGGAAACAAGTGCAGCGTCACCCTCTCCTGGGCCAGCGGGTGCCCAGCTGTGTCAGCACAGGGCTCCCGCAGCTGCCGCTCCTCCAGAGTCTTGCGCTGTACATGCCGTCAAGGACCACACCGCCATGCTTGGCCCGCCTGCCCCTGGCCTCAGTGCTCACCTGCCGCCTCACCCGCTGGGCATCCCTGGCCAGCGGCTGGCACCGTGTCCCAGGGAAGCTCGAGATGGGGCTTGGGCCACCCTCTCTGACCACAAACAACAACCCACCATTGTCATCGAGAAACTCACCCTGACACCCAGCCGTCCCTCCTGCCGACCTGGCCCGCCCGGAGTCAGTCCTGTCCACCTGCTCCGCGTGTCGTGGGAAGGCTGGCTGTCTGCAAGCGCCTTCTAGTGCCGCGAGGAGGGCAGACGGGGCTCGATACCCAAAGCCCAATGGAATGAAGGCCCTGCACCCCAATCCTACACCACCTCCTGGTGTGGCTGCTGCACCCCAAGGCCCCACCAGCCCCGGGCACTTTGTGGAGCCGGAAGCTGGCTCCCTCAGGCAAGGATACGATGCGCACTTCATGGAGTGCCCACTTCTGCTTCAAGAACTCGATGAGGCTGGAGAGCTTGCGATGCAGCTCCACAATCATCCTGCAGAGAGAGGACGGAGGAGAGGACAGCACGGTTGGTACAACAGGAGAAGACCCCCTTGAGGAGCCCGTGGAAGCTGCGGCAAGAGCGAGATGGACAGCTTGGACATGGACAGAGAAACAAAACCCAGGAAGTACCCAGGAGGGCCGGGGCCTGGGGCAGCCAGCACATCCGCTGGCTCTATGCTGAACGACCCTTTCTACAGCGATGGCCGCAGACTCATGTGGAGTGTGAGAAGCAACAGGGCGGCCCTATGGCCTGCCACCCGGGCTCCCCAGGGAGCACCTGGCCACATTACAGCCAAAGCCCTCAGCCAGGCGGACCCACCATCCATCCCATCAGTGCCTTCTGGGGTCAAGGAGGGCGGTCTGGCCAGAAAATAAGAATGCATGACAGGAAACTGGCCCTGGTCCCCGGCTGATTCTGTGCATGAATCAGATGCAAATGTCCGGGAGCAGAAGGGAGGCCCATGAGGCCTCGCAGGGGTGATGACTCGGCCCAGAGACCCTTGCCCAGGTGGGACCACAGCTCCATTTCCAGGCCCCACAGTGTGAGGAGAGCAGGCACCGTGCAGCCCCCATACCCCACCCTGTCTGACGCAGAGCACACAGGGGCACGTCAGGGAGCTCCTCAGGGGTCCCCAGGCCCCCAGGCCTCACACCCCACCTTGTCTGACGGAGAACACGCAGGGGCTCGTCAGGGAGCTCCTCAGGGGTCCCCAGACCCCGAGGTCCCCAGGCCCGCCTGCACGCCACAGCAGTCACCTGAGCCGTGGATTCTGGGCAAGGCTCTGCACGCGGGCCCAGGCGTGGTTGTTGCGCGGCTGTAGCTCCACGGGAACCTTCAGGGGTAGGCGCACCGGCTTTTGGTCCTCCTCGTCACTCAGGCCTGCGCGGGCAGAGGGACTGTGAGCACTGGCGTGGACCAGAGTGCACCCCCATAGGGCTGCACCCACCCAGCCCACCAGAGCACACCACCCCCGCAGGCCACACCCACCCAGCCCATCTGAGCCCCCCCACCATCACACCCACTCAGCCCATTCGAGCCCCCTCCCCCCTGGGGGTCACACCCACCCAGCACACCCGACCTACCATCAGGGTCGCAGAGCTTCTTCAGGGCTCGACACATGGGCGCCTTGATGCGCAGGTTCCTCCCTTTGTAGCGGACTGTGGTGGCCCTAGGGGAAGGGTGGTGAGGACATGTCAGGCCCGGGGACGAGCAGCTGCCCCCTGCTGGATGCTGTGTGGAAGGCCAGCCTCAGCTGGCAGAGTGGAAGGACCACGGACCAGCACCCAGCCTGGCCTCTGGGGCGCCCGCTCAGCCCCTCTGGTAGGGCCCCCGCACCACCCCCACAGAACACCCCCGCCCTCCAAGGCCTGTTCCGAGGCCGTGGAGAGTGGAGGATGCGTGTGACAGGCACAGCGCAGTGACTCTATGTCCCACAACCTTCCCGAGTACCGGGCCGCCAGCGGGGACCCCTGTGTTTACGGGAATCATGCCCTGCCCTCCTGCCCTGGTCCCACCCTGGAAGTCCTGACACTGTAGCTGCCCACTCTTCTAGGCAAAGCCCTTATCTGTCACCCCACTAACAAGCCCGCCTCCTCCTCGGAGCCCCATATAAGAAAGTTGTAAGATGTCATCACAGACGACAGATGCCCTCAACCAACCCAACCACCCAGGGGCGTGGGCGGTACGGGGCACTCACATCCCACGAACACTGACCTGCAGGCACCGGAGTTTGTATTGTTTCTAATTTTTATAAGAATGCACTTGTATGTTACTTATGTAATTTAAAAAATGTCATTCTAAAAACATTCTGCCTAGAATTGAAGACCAGGATGAGAGCCATCATTTCAGGTGGAATGTATGCATCTATCCTCTCATCCATTCGTCTACCTATCCGTCCATCTATTCACCTACTACCCACTCACCCATCCATCCTCTATCCACTCATCTATCCATTCATCCACCCATCCATCTTATCAACTCATCCATCCATCCATCCGTCCATCCACTCATCCATCCATCCTCCATCCACTCATCTATCCATCCAGCCAGCCACCCACCCATCCTCCATCCACTCATCATCCATTCATCCACCCATCCATCTTATATCAACTCATCCATCCACCCATTCATCCATCCATCCACTCATCTATCCGTCCACCTATCCATCCATCCTTCCATCCATCTATTTACTTATTACCCACCCATTCATCCATCCTCCATCTACTCATCTATCCATCCGTCCATCCATCAGTCCATCCATTCATCCTCCATCTACCCACACATTCATCCTCCATCCATTCATCTATCCATCTGTCCATCCATCCACTCATCTATCCATCTGTCCACCCATCCAAGCACTGACTGAGCTCCTTCTGTGCTGGGAATCAAGCACAGGACCCCAAGGAGCAGAGCTGAGATTCCAAAATCCTTGCCAAAGAGGTAAGAAGAGCCCCAGGAAGAACACTTCCACTCTCCCCTTTTCTGTCAGGAGGAGTAATTCACAGGACGAGAGTCCACACATAGCAAGTACAGTCCCACGTTCTGTTGGACAAAGTTCTCGAATCTGAACCACAACCCAGGTGGAGTGTACAGATGACAAGTGCTGCAACAGCTGTAGTAATGACACTGGAGCAGGGCTGCAGAAGGAACCCGGAGGAGGATTTAAAGGAGCAGCAACTGAACACGGAGTGCGTTCTTAAACAATCTCCTGCACTAAGCTGCTCTGGAAACAGAATGACTTCTCTCCTCATCACTGTTGTTCCAAGTGCCCCAAAACACACAGAAGCAAGACTTAGAGACTGACGGAGCTGTGTCATGTGGCACCTGCGTCTGAGACAATCATTTTCCGTTAAACTGCTATTTTGTGACTTCCTCTTTTTTTTTTTTTTAAGTGAAATGAGAAGACCTTTCTTCACTACCAGGTAACCATTGTGAGAACACGCTCTCCTTTTCTCTCAGATAGGAGCTCTGCGGCCAGCCCAAAACCAGAGCACTGTACAACGTAAAGAGCCACGTTCAAGCTCAAAGACGAGAGGGACTCTCAGGCCTGGTCCCGGTCCCGGAAAGTGGTCCGCCCTCCACCCCCTCATGCTCCCCAGAGCTGAGAGACCAGGAGATGGCTGAGGGGACAGGGCAGCACCTCCCCAGGGGCACCAAGCCCAGGAGCGGCTGTGGAAGATCACCACTCAACATCTGCCCAAGCGGGACACCACACACAGGGCTCTCTCTGACTCCTCCACTGAGCGCCACTGAGAAGACAGACAGAAGTCATTCTCCTCCATGCACAGAGCTTGCTTTTCTTCTCTGCTATATGATTTACTTCCTTCTCTGCAAAGCTGCTTGATCCACCTAACAGACGATATTCTACCCATCGGGGTCTGTGACCACTGTGATGAGATTTCATTTTAGAGCTTTCTTGGTTCACTTATTCCTTAGTTTAACAGCTAAATTGTGTAACCAAAAGGAGATCCATGGTTAACTAAAACAGGTTGTCATCTGAAGCGCGGATGGGAATTAGGAAGATATTCCATTGCTTCTGGTCTGGAATTGAAAGGTCCTTTTCCCCAGCACCTTTCTAACCATCCTCCCCACCTGTTTACAGGTCTTTTGCTTTGTTGTGAAAAACTGAAGTCTGCTGGTGAAAGAATGGGCGCGCAGTCAACAGAAGAGAAGAGAACGTCCAGAAACAGACGCAACAGATTTCTAACAGCGTGCAAAGGCGGCTGGATGGAGGAAGGAGGACAGTCCTCCCAGTAAGTGGAGCTAGAACAAGCGGACACCCAGAGGCCAAAAATGAACCTTGACCCAAACATCACGCCATACACAAAGACCAACTCAAAATGGAGCATGGGTTCAGACGGAAAATGCAGAACCATAAAACTTTTAGATGAAAACATGGAACATCTTTGTGACCGTGGGCTGGGAAAAGATTTCTTAGCTAGGACACTAGAAGCACAATACATAAAGGGAAAAAAGTGACAAATTGAACTTCACAAAGTTGAAAACGTTTGTACTCTGAAAGACGCCACGAAGGGGATGAAAGGACAAGCCGTAGACTGGGAGAAAAGACCTGCCAATCGCATCTGACAAGAGACCTGTGTCTAGAATATGTAAAGAATGCTCCAAACTCAACAATAAAGAAATAAGTACAAGATATTAAGAGACACTTCATCAAAAAAAAACGTATAAGCACCAGAAAAATGCTTAACATCATCAGTCATTAGAAACGCAAATCCAGATCTCAATGAGATACCACCTCATACCTCGTAGACTGGCTTAAACAACAAACAAACCGAAGACCACGTGCAGACGAGGACAAGGAGCCACTGGAGCTCTCATTCTGGAAAGCAGTTGGCAGTTGCTTGTCAAGCAGACCTACACTCACCACTCCACCTCCTGCGTATTCATGCAGAAGTGAAAACCTACGTTCACACAAAAACCTGGAGGTGAACGTTTACGGTGGTCTACTCCTAATCATTAAAAACCGCAAACCACCCAAATGTCCTTCCACAGGTGAACGGACCAACAGATCATGGCGCCTCCGTGCCACGGGACCCCACTCCACAGTGAACAGGAATGAACCACCGACACCAGCAGCATGGTGGACAGCACACGCATTCCGCTGAGTGGAAAAGCCAGTGATGGAAGGCCACACACTGTCTGATCTCATTCACGGCACATTCTGGAAGAAGCAAGAGTACAGACAACAGAGACAAGCTCAGGGACTGTAGGGCTTGGGTGTGGGGAGGGGTGACTACAAAGGGGTTGATGGGTGGTTCCGTGTCTTGAGTATAGTGGAGGTTACTCAGCTCCATGTATTTGTTAAAAGTCAAAGAACTGTAGGCCAAAAAGTGAGTTTTACTGTAAGTTAAAAAATTAAATGACAACAAAAAACGGATGTCTGTACATTCTTCTCTCCCCCACCCCAATCTACCCTCCAGTACAGATAAGGGTTCTACCTAGCTTCCTGCGACACCACGAAGACCGTCTTGATCCCTAGCGTGTCCTGCAGAGCTGGGCCTGGCCTGAGCCCCAGCCTCGGCTCTATACCCACGTCCCTCCCTGCCCCACCACTCCTCCACGTGCTGACAATCATGCTAGGCTCACACCTCACTTCCCACTCCCGCAGGGTCATAACACCAAGGCCTAGGTTGGCCAGCCTCCCTTGACACTGCTGTCTACATGCTTTCGGTGACTGCTACACATTTCTGTTTTCCAGATGGATGTCAAGGTTGCTTTGTCAAGTTCCAGCAAGCATAGAACTGCAATGGTAAAACGAATCCAGAAGTCAAGATGGTCTCCCTCGGGCTGGGGCTGGAGGTGATGTGACTGGGGGTGGTAGGGGGCTCCAGGGAGGTGGCTGTATTCTACTTCCGGATGCCGGTGAGCATCTCGGGGACGTGCACGTTTTTCTCCCGTGTGTTATATTTCAGCTCAAATACCACCGTGGTTCTGACTGAAACCACACACATCTGTAGACATCTTTCCAGTGCTCCATCCTTCCAGCCAGAAACCTGGGACGGCTTTCAGACTGTCAAACCTTCCTTGATGGATTTCAATCATTTTATTGTTTTGTTTTTCTCACACAGGCTCTCCTGTGTTTTTTGCTATCTCTATATCTACCTTTTTTAGTGTTCTGTTGTAAAAGTAAATGAGATTTTTAAACTCACTTTAACAAATCATTTCAGCTATCAAAAATGAAAACCTGTTAATATTTATATCTGTCCCTGGTATTGAAATCGAATTAGTTCTACCCCTTTTCAATTGATTCTTTTCAATTTTCTAGACGGCCAATCACGGCATCGGCAAATACAGATCATTCAGATAATTACGCCTCTTCTTTTCTGACACTTGCAATCTTTCTGCCTGCCCTGGACCGCCACAGCCCCACTAGAGTCTTGGCTAGGCCCTAAGCGAGGACTGAAAAAAAAAAATAATGTAATTTAGAATAGCTTTCGATTTACAGACAGCTCCTACACTCCACCCGGTTTCCCCTCTTGCCGACCTCGAACATCAGTGGGGCACGTGTCACAATAGGTGAACCAACACGGACACACTATTAGTAACTAGTGTCTGACTTTATCCAGATCGCCTCGGTTTTCCGCTAACGTCCTTCTCCACCCCAAGCCCACCCAGGACCCCACTTCACATTGAGTCATCATGTCTCCCGAGGCTCCTCAAGGTTGTGACAGGTTCCAAGGCTTGCCTTGTTTTTCATGATGTTGACCGTTCTGAGGAGCACTGGTGAGGCATTTTGTAGAATATCCCTCAACCGGGATTCATCGGGTGTTTTTCTCATGATTAGACAGGGGCTATGAGCTTTTGGAAAGCGCCTGGTGGTGCAACTGTTAAGTGCTCAGCTGCCAACCAAAAGATTGGCTGTTCGAACCCACCCAGTGGCTTCATGGGAGAAAGATCTGGCAATCTGCTCCTGTAGAGATCACGGCCTAGGAAACCCTATGGGGCAGTTCTACTCTGTCACACGGGGGCACTATGAGTTGGAATCAACTTGATGGCACCCAACACCACCACCTCGGGTTTTGGGAGGAAGACCACAGAGGTGAAGTGCGTCCTTACCACGTCCTCTCAGGGAACCTGCTGTCACCGTGACTCATCACCACTGATGCTGACCTTGACCCCTGGCTGAGGTCGTGCCTGTCAGCTTTCTCCACTGTGAAGCTATTTGTCCCCTTTTCCACACTGGACTCTTTGGACAGTCACCACACACAGCCCACACATAAGGAGTGGGAGTTCTGCACCCCCGCTGAGTGAGCCTCTACACACATCATCTGGAAGTCTGCTCAGAGATCTCGCTCTTCTCCCGTGCATTTATTCATTCACTCATTCATGTATGAGCATGGCCTCGTAGATGCCTGTTGTGTCCGCTGGGTCACTAATAAGGGTTTAAAGCACACCTGTGAGCGCTGCCCCTGACGTCTGGCTTACTCAGGACTAATCTAGCCTTCATCCTCCCTCGGGGCGTTAAGGAGATGGCTCCTTGGGAAGGGAGTGAGACTTCTTAGCTTTGGTCAGAGCTTACCCAGGCCCTCAAGGTCCCGCCTCGGGCCCTGGGTTCTCCTGTGTCCCAGCCACCCTAAGATCACCCTTCCAGCTGCTCCAAGACCCCTCTTACAGCCTTTCAGCCCACAGCTTCCAGGCATCGCGCTCCCCCAGAAAACTGAAAACTAGTCCAGGAAACAGTCTCCGCCTACACTCATGAAGAGACAACCATCCCCACAGGGGCCTGCTCTTGTGACAGAGCCAAGCAGACCTGCTGCTCCCCCCGACCAGCCCCTGGGTCCCTGGAGCACAAAGCAGGGCTCCTGGGACACCCCTTGCCCAGAGACTTCTGGGGAAACCCAGCACCAAAGGCGAAGGGAGAGGGCCCTAAGCCCCGCAAGGGGAGTCTCTGCCCTTTGGGGCAGCACCACGCCTGCTGGTAGGAAGGCCAGCCCAGCCACCATCTCCACCTTCTCAGGAATACCCAGGCCCCGGAGGGCACTCCAACCCAACAGCACGGGGCTCTCAGCATCTTCTGCTGACCCAGCAGGGCAGGGGAGGGTGGGGAGAAGGCAGACCACAGAAGCTGCGATGGGAGAAAGGCTGCGGTGCAGCGGTGGTCTGCAACTCAACACCCACGGCCATGAGGGCATCCCACACACAGAGCACCTCCTAGCTTGGAGACAGAAGACTGAGGACAGCGTCTGGGACTGCCTGGACAGGGGCCAGGCTGCAAGAGGCTGCGGACAGGCGACAGGACCTGGGGAAGCTCAGGGCCCGGACACCTCAGTGGGGGCCTGGGGACTGACCATTCAGGATATCGGAGTGAAGGGGAGGGCAGAAGCTGGCTCCCGAAAGAGGCCAGCAGGTGGACAACAGCCCACTGAGAAACATGACCACAGGCAGGCTGGCTGTCCACATGGCCGCAACCAGGCCGAGACCCTAGAGGTCTCATGTACCCAGGAGGACGTCGGAGCCTCGGGGAGTCACGGGTGTGTGGGGCGAAGAATACAAAGTTGGGACCCACCTTTGTCTCAGGGGCCCCAAGCCTCAGTGGGCGCGAGAGGGGCGGTGGCAGAGGGGGCAGGAAACACCGCTGGGAGAAGCACAGAAGGAACATCAGAAAACATGCAACAAGACGGAGAGTTTTCTAGAAGCTTAGGGGGCCCAGCACCGTGAAATGCACGAAGGTGGAAAAAAGGAGAACGAGAAAGAGAGAGCCTGGGGTTGTTATCAAGCCTGCAGCCACAGCCAACTGATCCTCAGACAGAACAGCTCGGAGGAAGGCTGCACCTTCCTTACCGCAGGACGGACAGGCCCGGTCGAGGGCCAGCTGCTCCCCGGGGTTTTATCATGCAGGAACGCCTAACCAGATGCTCTGCCACCTTTTAACCTGGAGAAGCTCAACATCCAACGATCCTCTTGGAGAACTGGGAGAATGCCGCACATATTTCAAGCTCTGCACTTGAGCGTGAACCAAATCCCCGAGACGTGTACTGAGGTCGCTTGGTGAGCCTGACTTACCCAGCCTGGATGAGCTCATTCAGCTTCGTCGCATTCTTGTCATCCATGCCTTCAAACAGAAAGAGAAGCAGAAGTTACGACCACGACACAGTGGGGGTAAAAACCATTAAAGGTCCCCAAATGATGATCTTCACTACAGCATCCAAATCCTTTCACCAAACATTCAAGGTCCTCAGAATAAATCCCCAACGCTTGCACAGCCCCTCCCCTACAGTCAAAAGCAGGAGGTGAATGTTCCAGAAGGTGCCCCACTGTTCCCCCCTCGCATCTACGCACACTCCCGCTCACCAGTATCACCCGTACATGATCCCCTCCTTCTTAGGGGTCACACCCAGGCCCCTGCCCATCCCACCTGCCTTGTTCAGAAGGCCTGCCTCCCTGTGGGTGCCCACCATGCCCTGTGCACCCCACCCCTGCTGTACTCCTCACCCCAGTGCCGTGTTTACGTGCCATGATGAGACCATACACGCAGGTTACTGCACACAGGCTGGGCACACAGACCAAAGACCAAAACCAAACCCACTGCCGTTGAGGTGACTCCGACTCATGGCGACCCCACGTGTTACAAAGTAGAACTGTGCTCCATGGGATTTGCTTGGCTGTAATCTTAATGGAAGCAGATCGCCAGGCCTTTCTTCCGTGGAGCCACTGGGTAGGCTTGAACCACCAATCTTCTGGTTAGGTAGTCTAGCACAAACAGTCTGCGCCACCCAGGAATGGCACACGCAGGGGTCGGCAGATCCTATCTCCTTCCCGGCTCTCTGTCTGCCTACACCCCTCCCAGCCCACTGCCCACTCTGAGGTGGGGAGTCTAGAGATCAGGGCACACCCTCATGTGCGAGGGGACTTATTCGCTAAAGCCACTCATTCAGTCTCCAGAAGGGTCCTTACAACGTCCACCTGACAGAGAAGTTGAGGCCTGGAAAAGCTGCATGGGTGCCTTGCTGTCTGTGGTCACCCAGGCAGCAAAGGGGGAGCTGAGCGGTGCTGCGCATGAGCCAGCAGGAGGCCGTGACACGCCTTCAGGGGGCTTCTGCCGAAGCGTTTATAGGACATGGGATCACATGGGACCCATCAGAACAATCCCAAGGTGAGGGAACTTTACAAAACACAGGCCCGGACCATCTAAAACATAAACAGCATGAGAAACAGAACACGGGGACTGCACGTGACAGGGTCCTGGTCACGGGACCTGCCCTGTATGTTAGGTGTATCAGGCAGCATATTAGGTAAGATTACTGTATCTGTTTCACACGTGCTGAGTGTCTGGGGGTGTGGTTATCTAGGAGAATATCCTTCTTCTCAGCAGCACGGGCGGAGGTGTTTAGAGGGACAGCACGTTTGTCAGTAAGAGTCAAATGGCTGAGCAAGGAAAAAGTGTGTGTGCACGCACCCAAGCGTGCAGGTAGGTGTGTGCATGCCTGAATATGTGCGTGTGCATGTGTGGGGGGAGAGTGCAAACGTGGCAGAATATTAACGGCACAGCTAGGTGAAGGGTATGTGGTGTTCTCAGTCTTCTCTAACGTTTCTGTAGGTTAAAACTTCTCAAAACCAAGAAATTGGAGGAAAACAAGAGGCCCCAATGGCGACGGGCACAGCTGGGCTGCCAGGAGGACACGTGGCGCCTCTGCCGTGGGGGCGGCCCCGCAGACTGGCTGGCGGCGCGTACTCACAGCCCCCAATTTTCTTGCGCAGCTCGCCGTAGCAGATGAGCCCGTAGAGCTCCTGGGATGACTTCTTCAGTCCGCGCGAGAACACTGCGGGGGAGAGCAGAGCTTCAGGAGGCTGCACATGGCCCCGGGCCAGCGGCACACGCGCACCTGGGTGTCGGCACCGACAAGAGGCTCACTGTGGCATCTTCCTTTGATTACTTGACCCTGGCTACGCAGGGCGGTAACCCCAGGGCAGGCTGGGTGGAAGGCACAAAGGAACCTGGTGCTATCTGTACAACTTTCAGAATGGGTAGCGCTGGAACACTGTACTCAACAAGCAGATCACATGTCCCCTAGGCAAGAAAAGGGAACACTGGGCACGGCTGGTTTTCGTGGGGGCAGGCGAGGTGGTGGGGCAGACACGTCACTGGGTGGATCATCAACTACTCTGTACGCACAGCACCTCACACAGGACTCAGGCCGCCTCGACCGTCCTCTCCTCCTCTGACCACCAGGCCCACATGCCACGGCGTCGAGGGCCAGACAGGAGGAGGAAGTGCAGCAGGATCGCCTGTGACCCACCAAGTACCAACCCCCTTCTCCCTTAGCAGCAGCCCCCGATCTGACTTGGGGAGCAACACAGACAGTGAAAGCAGCGTGTCTTCTTGTCGCTAGATGGGGCCACAGAACAAAACCCTGGCCAATGAGGTGTGGACATGCTGTGGAAGCTTCCAGAAAGGCCCCTTGAAACGAGTGACTCGGGCAGCACAGCTGCTGCCCGGGGCCACCTGGATACACGCGTGGCCAGCAGAGCAGAAGGATGGGGCCTGGGTCCCTGATGCCTCCCCAGGCCTCCAGCTCCAGGCGTCACTTACACGGGAAACAAACCCTTGTGTGGGGAAGCCACTGTGACGTGAAGCGTTCTACCCTGTACAGCCAGACCTCACAATGACGCAGGAAGCCCAGCAATATCACAGACCAGGAGCCTCTACTGCATCTCTCGGGGTAGTGACAGGGTCACCTAACTCCCACACTCTCACGCCTGTACTCCTTGGCTCTCCCTCAGCGGCTGCTTTTCAGAGCCCTAACATTCGCTGCGTGCGTGCGTGCGTGCGTGGAAAGGAAAAGCTGAACACATCAGTGCGCGGGGAGCTGGGCTCAAAGAAATGGTCCAGACAAGTGTTCTGAGACAGGACAGCTCTGAAGAGTCTGTGATCTCCAGCACCACACACCAACTGTTTTGGAAGAATTTCCCAAGAAAAGGACCCTCAGATTCCACCAGCTTCTCAGAGGAGAACACGACTCAGAACAGTTACAGACCCATGATTTGATGGATAAACACAACAGGTGATCCGTGGGCGCAGCACAGACAGAAGTGGTGCTTCTGCTCACAGGTGGAGATGGGGAGGCAAACCACCCCAGAACCCAGTGACAGACAATGCCACCAGCACATGGGCAGAGGGATCCCGGAGAAGTCGATGGTTGGGGAAAGGGCGCTCGAGCCGGAAGCCAGCACCGCACCCGTGATGACCTGGTTACGTGGATGGGAAAGGGGACTACACAAATCTAAAATCCAAGCACAGAGGGTCTGAGCTTCTGCAGAGCCAGCCCCACACCCGAGAGAGTGGCCTGTGAGCATACGAGCTTCAAGGCCCTGACAGCACCTACACTCGGACAGGAGGGCCTGGCTCTGACCCCTGCGCCCACAGCCGACCCTCTTCCCCCTCAGCAGGTACACGGGCTGTGAGCTGAGGACCCAGAACCTGCAGCCACTCGGAGCCATGGAACACACCAACACATAGCAGCAGTGGAGCCACCGGAATTAGGGAGTGGCCTCCAGACAGCTGCAGGCGGCAAACAGTCGCCAGGGGCACCCCCGGGAAGAGAGCCTCGAGGGGCAAGGGAGCCTCGAGGGGCAAGGGAGCCTCGAGGGGCAAGAGAGCCTCGAGGCAAGTAAGCTCCCAGCCATGGAGCCAGACGAGGCTGGGTAGTGAGTCCGCAGGCCTGCCGGAGCCCTGACCAGCACCCCGTCCTCCCCCAGCAGCAGGGCTGCGGTGCACTCACCGTTGTCGAAGTCAATGTACTTGGTGATCTTGTGCCAGGTGCGGTAGTAGAAGTGCCGGACCTGCTCCTTGTTCTTCACCATGCTCGTGGGCTTGCCCTTCTTCCTGTATTTCAGGGCAATGTTGTTCTGGATCGCCTCAAAGTCCTTCCCGTGCTGGAAGACACAGCCCACGTAAAAGGGGTTGACAAACAACAGACCTGAGGGCGACACAGGTGCTTTCTGAGAAAGGAGAAGGGGTGGGGACCAGCTAGGGACAAGCCAACGGCCCTCAGTGCTCTCTGTGCATGGGCCATGAATCCCAGGTTTAACCAGGATAAAGGACGAAGCAGCGGCAGAAACTCAGGGACAGAACCGTGACAATATACAATGCCAAAGAGGCGAGGACGCTGGGCCAGGAGAGACAAAAAGCTGACCGTCTGGACAAACGGGTTCACCTTTAGAGTGATTTACAGATCACAGCGTGAGACACCTCCCTGAAGACGAGACACACGATGCAGGAGTTCAGGGTACTGCGTGTTTGGCGTCTTAGATAAAAGGATGCATCGATGCTCAGAGCCACTCTACTGGCTGTGATAATGCAGAACATGTCCCACACTCTGACAGGGACAGCAAAGCTGAGCGTCCAGCTGCCTCTGTGGGCCGCTCTCCCTTCAAGGCCCTGGGCAAAGGCGGAGTACGTCTTAGACAGCGCGTTCTCCGTCACTGCCGCAGAGAATCAGCTGTGTGGTCATCATACTGAAGCCAAGCCCATCAGCAGTAATGGGACAGGCGAGTGGCAATGGCACCCCAGGAGCAACAAGCACACCAGTGACCACAGCTTGGTCTCTAACACCACTTCCCAACAGGAACCAGAGCTCCTTGGAGAAACAGCTCGTTCCAGGTCTGGAGCGGGGAAAGTACAAGGGGAGTCTGGACTACCTTGGGGTGCCAGAAAGTGAGGATGTGCTTGAAGAATGAGAGAAACCCGTAGAGAGGACATAGGAGCTGACTTGAGGGTAATCTGGGCAACAACATAAACCAGATACAAATGCGTTACGACCCAGAGGATAAAACAGAATAAATAACACCCCTGAGTCTGCACCGACCCAACAGATCACTGAGGAAGTACATAAGTGGGGGAGAGGGAGAGTACACCCACCCTCCTCGGTCACTTTTAGGGCTCGAACCTGCTGATCGAACAACCACGTGGTGAGAAAGACGGCAAAGGTGACGGAGAGGAAAAGACGAAGCGGCCAGCATGGCGAGGAGGCAGCCACCACTCCCCTTCTCCAACATCTCCTCACCTCATACAGCCCCTCGAAGAAGGTGTTCTTGTCCTCCGTGCTCCAGGACTCCCACTGCCGGCGCACCTTCTTGCCTTCCTCCTTCTCGCCTCCTGCAGAGCCTAGGTTCCGGGAAGATGGGCGCGAGCCCCCCGCAGGGGCAGCAGGGGCAGCCCCAGGCCCATTTCCAGATGATGCTCCGCCACTGTCGGCTCCTTGGGAGAGAAAGCAGCATGCAGTGATCTGCTCCAGGGAGCCGGGAGCTGGCCAGACCCACTGCCTGGCAGCCCTCACACGTTCCTCAACCAAGGGGAGCTGGGAGTTGGGCACACCCACTGCCCGGCAGCCCTAACACACTCCTCAACCAAGGGGAGGCAGGAGCTGGGCACACCCACTGCCCGGCAGCCCTCACACGCTCCTCAACCAAGGGGAGGCAGGAGCTGGGCACACTCACTGCCTGGCAGCCGTCACACACTCCTCAACCCAGGGCATTAGCAGGACAGCCCCTGGGACCCCGTGTGCCTGGCAAGGCAGCTCAGCAATGACATGGTCCCAGCCTGACCTGCCGACGCTTGACAATAACGTGCTTACAGTGAGAAAGAGGAGGGTGGTTAAGCGGAACCGTTTAAAATGAGCATTGAGAAGGCAACTCGGTGTCCCGGCCACACTGGAGGCTCCAGGGTCTTTTCCCTCTGAATGGAAACCGCTCTCCAACGGAGTGCGGTTCTACTGTGACACACAACGGGGGCCGTGCATCACAGTCAACACGACAACAACTGGTGGTGGAGGTGGCTCTTCTCCAAATGAGGTTCTGGTTCACAGAACTTCTAGCATCTTTTCAAACAAGCAAATAGAAACTCAAACTCAAGAAAACACTGAAGTGTGCGTGAAGCACCGTCTTCTCTTAGACACGCTGCTGTTAGCTGCTGTCGAGTTGCACGACCGCACGCGTGACAGCGAAGCGTGGCCAGTTGTGCGCCGTCTCCGCGATAGCTCGTATGTTTGAGCTCAGCGTTCCCTCGTTTGCACTGACCCTCTGCTCCCATCAATACTTCAGAATACAAATCACTGAATGCCTAATAACCTTCAAAATCTTAAAACTGCTTATTCTCGACTTATCTCCACCATCAAAGCCTGGTGTTCCGAGAGTGACCTGGTAACCTCGTAACTTCTCTGAAAGCATCAGCTCCTCTCCGCACGTGCAGTCCTTCACGCAATGCTGGGAGGAGGAGCTAATGCAGTAAAACAGGAGGCTGTGGGGACCACGCTGACCCCGGGCTGGGATGGAGACCTCTGGGCTCCTGGAGAACAGAGGCAGCGAGCAGGAGTTAAAGGGCACAGAGAGAGCACTTTTATGACCTGACCCAATGTTCCCACCCCTCCCAGTTCCTCCTCTCCCGGTGGGAACAGGAGGGAGCTCCCAGCGTCTGCCTGTGATAACCAGTATCCGTTTTTCAACTGAGTGCAGGATCATAAAACAGTAAAAAAGCCTCAAACTCTGAGACAATCTTACAACAAGGACAAACACAAGATAACAAAAATAAAAACACTTCAGGAAGCAAAAGCCAAACAAACACAGACTACTGTTAAAATATTTCCTAATGAAATCATCGTGGGCTTTTCCTACGGATTCTACTTCCTGGTGGATCCAGCGAGGGCACTCAAGGGCCCACTTGCAGATGGGGGCACAGGGTCCAGATCCCTCACCTTCTCGGCGTGGGTCTGCCCGGAATAGGGGAAAGGCACACAGGTCCAGAGGAGACGGTGAGAAATAAAACAAATGAAAGGTTGAAGTTTGTTAATCCATACATGCCTGCAAAGACCCGCTGGAAAAACACACGAGAAACTGGCTCCCAGCTGGCAGCCTGGAGACGAATGGGACGGAGACTCGCTCTCCACGGCTGCCCTGTACAGCCTGCAGACTGTGTGCATGAATGGGTACCACTCTCTCAACATAGAGAGTGTTTGGAAACAGTTCCCATCGGTCAGCCATCAGAAAGCGGGATGTGTCTGTCACACACACAGAACACCGGTCAGCTCTAAGGAACACCTTTGGTTCTTGTGTTGGGAAGGCGTATCAGTGCAGCTACGGGCCCAATTCCCGAGACATCGTGACCAGATATGCAGAAATCTCTACTTCATTAGCATGGCATTGTCTGATTGTAAGCACTACCCAAGAGAAGCTATTTAAACGTAAGTATTAGTGGTTTTTGCTGTTGTTAGTTGGTGTCAAGTCGATTCTGACTCATGGTGACCCCACGAGCTACATAGGATTTTCTTGGCTGTAATCTTTATAGAAGCAGATCACCGGGCCTTTTCTTCCGTGGTACTGCTGGGTGGGTTTGAACCGCCAACCTTCAGTTTAGCACTCAAGTGCAAACTGTTTGCCCCACCTAGCGACCTTCTAATATTGGTTAATTAAAACTAAATAAAAGCTTACTTTCTCGATCACACTGGCCATATTTCAAGTACTCAATGGCCACACGAGGCACATGGCTCCTATGTTGGAGAACAGAGTACCCCATCCCTGTAGAACGTGCCACAACAGTGCTGTGCACATGAGTGCTTGGCGTTCACGGTCTAAAGGCCCCGTCACAGAATGAAGGACGATTGAGCGCAAAGCCTCTCCGGTCCCAGCCTGTTTTCCACCAGCTCCATTCCCACCCGGCACCTAGAACAGAAATGCCATCCCAGTGTTCTCTGTGCCACCAAGTGGGCTAAGGAAGCACTCGACACATGATCCGCCCAGAGAGGTCCTGGTAGAACGTGACAGTAACCACCCAGGAGTGGCTGACCATTTGCAGTCCCAAAAAACTCAGGTGAAGCCAGAAGGTGACAATTCGGGGCAGAGAGAGCAGCAGGCAAGGAGAAGAGAGGAAGGAGAAAGGCAAGAGATGAGATGAGAAGACATTTTCGGGCAAGACTGGTCAGCGCGGGGTTTCCTCCGGGGCTGGGAGTGGGTGCGAGAAGCCCGACGAAAAGCAGAGGGCCGAAGTCGACACTCCAGCTCTCACTATGCGTCTGAGGCCGCGAAGAGGCTTCACCACAGTCTGCATGATGAGAGGTCAGCACCCAGGAAACCCAGAGGAAGGTGTGTCCCAGCGCAGGACCCCAACAAGGCGCTCTCTGAGAGCACAACCCACGTCTCACATTCTTCCCCAAGCCCAGCACCAGACTTCATGCAGCCGCCGCTCGGGGCCACAGAGCAGACAAGGAGCCTCTCTGCAATGCTGGCCTGGTGCTCGCCTCTGCACCAGTCCTGCCTGCCCTGGAAGCTCATCTAGTCCACAAGGCAGGTGTTCAACAAGCGAACAAACGCCATTCCCAATCACTCATCGTTCCATCGGCCTCTAAAGATCCCATCCCACTGTGCCCACAGGGACCCCTCTCCAGGACCACCAGCCTTGCTGCCGTCCTCTTCCATGATCTGAAGATGACCTGGAACCACATGGTCCCCAGGACACATCCTGGTCATCTCTGTGTGCCGGAAGTCACCCCCACTGTCTCCTCAATGAGGACGGCCTTTCTCTGGCCAGGCTTCAGGTCTGAGGCGCCGTGAGATTCTGCATCCCCCTGCACACTCTGCCTTGGCCCTGAAGGCTTCCCCTCCTTTCAGAAACGTGGAGAAAAACACAACTAAAATCCCACCGTTTCTATCAAAATGCATGCCCTCTTCATTGAGCAACGTGAAGACTTTCTAACGGTTCTGGGAAGGCCGTTCTCCCATCCCGACTGCCCCCCGCACACGCGGGCACAGGTCTGCTTTTCTGGCCTTTCTCACACTGCCCTTCGGCGCTAAGGACACCGGGGTTACCTAACGTGCTAAGATGCTTCCGCACACCAACATCCACGACAGAGCTACCGTTCGCCTGTGTGATTCTGCTATCTGAAATCATTCCTCCTCTACCTTTATATCGTCGTATAATCCAAATTAAGACACAGTGTACTGTGTAAAGTCAAAATCTTAAAGTATACTTCATTGGCAAAAAACAATTCCACAGTCAGGTACCATACAAACTACATTAATTCTGAAAGTAAAATAAATGAGGCAATGAGGAATCTGAAAATTAGCTCAGCTCTGAAACCCATATTCAAGTGTTGTCATGTCAGCATAGGTATGCGTGTATGCACGTGTGAACGTACGTACACGTGTTATGCATACGCATATGTGTACGTGCATGCGTACGTGCAGTGCAATGGATCACTTTTCTACGGCCTTTCTCGCCATAGTCTTGTAATTCCCACCAAATGATTGAGTGGAACTATACAAATAAGGAGGTTGTGGCCCACCAAGGGGATCAGACAGCTTGATAATAATGTAAATAAGGTGTATGGAACTCCTGTGGGGGTGGGACCACACAAATAAGGTGTATGGAACCCTAACGAGGGGATTGGTCAGTTTTGCCATCCTGCTAGGCTTAAAAGAGAGCCAATCCCAGAGTAGAGGGGGACCTCACTACGAGCAGAGCGCGTCCTTTGGACCCAAGGTCCCTGTGCTGAAACTTCCTAGACCCATGAGACAGAAAGCTGTAACATGGGACACGGCACAAGATGGCAAGACACGGCGGCAAGTGCAGCAGAGAACCAGCAGCAGCAGAACCAGGAAACCAGCAGAAGACAGCGCAGTGGGCTTCCCGGCCCATGGAGCAAGGTGGTTGCAGTGGGTGTGCTGACCCATGGAGCAAGAGAGCTGAGCACCTTTGGGCAGGAGGCTTGCTGGCAGAGGAGGCTGCCTCCAGGCACTTGGCAGAGGTAGGCTCACCAACCCACAGAGTGAGAGAGCTGAGCGCCCTTGGACAGGAGGCTTCCTGGTAGAGTGGGGTGCCTCTGGGCACTTGGCAGAGGTAGGCTCACCAACCCACAGAGTGAGAGAGCTGAGCGCCCTTGGACAGGAGGCTTCCTGGTAGAGTGGGGTGCCTCTGGGCACTTGGCAGAGGTAGGCTCACCAACCCACAGAGTGAGAGAGCTGAGCGCCCTTGGACAGGAGGCTTCCTGGTAGAGTGGGGTGCCTCTGGGCACTTGGCAGAGGTAGGCTCACCAACCCACAGAGTGAGAGAGCTGACCCATGGAGCAAGAGAGCTGAGTGCCCTCAGACAGGAGGCTTGCTGGCGGAGTGGGGTGCCTCTGGGCACTTCTCATCAGAGCTAAACAGCTTTGTGACACTTGCCTGAGCAGGGCAGAGGACAGGCCAAGAGGCTGAGGGCCAGAGAAAGGC